AAGAGGCTTAGCATCACTTCTGGTGCTCCATATGCTGTACGAATATCAAATTACTCAAAGTAACATGGATCTGTGGGTAATCCCATTCCGGACGCAGCACAGTGTACCAGCGAGCTACCTTTGATAAAATCTCTCGGCGTTTCTCATATTTTTCTTCAATTTTCGATAGTATGTTTTCGGATGAGGCATTTCTGTAGTTGCTCTGATACTGCTCGAGAGCGCCACAAAATTCTTTATGTGCTTCTGGATTCTCGAGATTTTCGGTAGCAGTACTATTTTCGCAAATCCGTTGCGCAAAATGGGGTTTTAGCACCGTCAAAGCTTCTGGATATGTCATTGGCCAAAAATATTCAAGTTCTTGACAGTTTGCTCTTAGTTTTACGGTAGTGTTGTCCAGTTTCCACGAGGTTAAACACAACATCTTCATTTCTTCATCGTGAAGGATCTGACTTCTTTTGAAAATGCTGTCAATTCCGCTGAGCGCCTGAAAGAACTAAATTGCACTTTCTTGCTAACAGAAATCACCAGGAATGCTCGGATTTTATCTAGACCTGCCACTCAGTCGCTGGAATCCATCCTCTTCCGGAACATTTGAATTAAATTTGAGCCTCTGCTGTGAGTGCCAATTTTATGTAGAAATAGGCATTAACATTTCCAAGGACTTTCTCAATATACTTAACACTAAAACTTTTATTCTCTTACGAATTGATTTGCAAAAGTTCTTCTATTTGCAGTCAATTTCCTTGGCTACAACAAAATTATTAGTATTTTAAAATTTTCCTGCACTTTTTTTAGGTGCCCAATTCGGTTTGTATCGTCGAGCTAAGTGTTGCATGATTAGCTTTTGTAGATGATCGGACTAAAAAGAACTACCGAAACTTATTGGAAAAGCAAGCATAAACTGGTTAATATGTATAACACTCCTACATTAGTCCGGTCGAAAACGAAGTTTGGTGATCTCTTACAGTGTAAGCTTTTTGGAGCCTATCGCAATACACATGTAAACACACACACAAACACACACACACGCATACACACGCATACAAATATACTTGTGCACAAACATACACACGTGCATACTTATACACAAACATACCGTCATTTTGAAAATATGCACGCGTTTTTCAAATGCGAAAACGTGTATTGGCAAGAAGCTGCCTGTATTCTGTATATGATCACTGGCAACGAGTCGCATCGGGCGGCCTCATGCGATCATGCGTTTTTGCGGTGTTTCGTGCTGTAGTAAGATCGCTTGGAATTCCAGCAGCTAGAATTTATGACATGCTGGTTCTCGAAGTCCAGGAAGTTAATTTTTCAACTACTTGTACTTGTACAGAGAGTATTTTGTGAAAATCTCAGTTTTCCTTTTCTGATTACCGAGTTATCAATTCTTAAGTCAGTACGAAGAACTGTCAACAACCCATTATTTTTTCTAATAGCTCTTCTTAGGTTTGAAGTCTGCTTTGCGAACGTACTCAGGTAGGATCATTTTGCGATTTACACAGCACACACAGAAAGCGAGCAACCGCACTGTAATCTCTCGCTTCACTGTAGCTAAACATTACGGTATTTTGGATTTTAACACAGCCTCAAAGACGAATGCTTTTTGAGGACTTCGAAATCCTTCTTCCTAATAACTTCGTTGTCAAATTTGCATCGACCGGTCATCGGAAACTATTCATTTCTTTTTATACGGAACTGGTTCATGGAGTTCGGCCTCTTCCCGTGTTTAACCACAACATAAGCTTGCTCCGTCTGTGCCTGGGTTGCATTGCTATAAATTTGCAAAAACGAATAAAAACGAAGCTCAAAGAAAAACAGATTGAGGAATGAATATCAGTAATTACCCAGTGGTAGACTTTTCGCCTTGTTGTTTTTGCTGGCCGAAGTGCTTTCACTATTTTGCGGACTTCAGCAGAATTCACTTGCTCTGCATTTTTATGAAAATCTGTAGAAAAGAAAGTTTAGCAGCAGTACGCAATAAATTTCAATTCCATATTGTTGTATTACAAGTTCTCGGCGAAGGACTGATATCAGCAACGCAAAGGCAGTAAAAGGGGGGAATTCAAACTGTTCAGCTGACATAACTTTTTATCACTTCAGTCTGAGGAACAAAGGCCTAGCTAAGCTATACCATACTATTAGTATCATCACTAGCACAAAATCTCCATACTACTTGTCTGAAAGGACCAGAGATCTTGAAGTGTGCTTATGACTTATTCAGCTTTTAAAAGATTCTGTCAAGCTCAACAAATCAGACGTTTGTTGAACAAAATATTGTCCTTTTGTTAAAACCTAGGCTGGAACGCACCAGGCGAGCCGGAGCGATCATGCGTTTTTGCACAAAACTTGAA